TTCAGCATCTAGTAAGATAAACATGCGTTTTTTACCTTTTTCTGTTAATGTGGTGAATTATTTGTCTTTCTTAAGGTTCATGTTTGCCATCTCATCTTTCTCATTTAAATAAAAGCTCTCTGTTTCCTTGCTTTCAGAATTCATTCCAAATTCCTTAATAGGAGTGTGAAACTTTCAGTTTGGCCTCATTTTGATTCTTGAACCTCAACTCTTGTCTCTTGTCCCCCCCCCGCCATACTTTAACAGCGTGGGACAACTTACTTCTTCCCAGAACTCTTGTACCTCTGGATTTAACTCTTCCCTGCTGGGCCCCTTCTCTCCCTCCCACCTTGATCTAACATAATACTCTTTAGCCTTTAAGACTCAGCCTGAATAAGCAACTGCCTTTCCTACCTCTGTCACGCAGCTTGTCAGGGCTCCTAGTTCAGGCTCTCCACAGCTTCAAGTATTTTCTTTGTAGTCATCACATCAAAATCTACTGTAAGTGAGAGTCTCTGCCAAATGCCTGGTGCCAGGGTCCTGAGAACCTAAGATGAATTAAAAGGTCATGGTAAGAGACCATGAATTATATGCTATGCTGTATTCTGAGTATTTGTGTCCCCACAAATTCCTATGTTGAAATCCTAGCCCTCAGGTGATGGTTTTAGGAGTTGGGACTTTTCGTAAGTATTTAGGCATGAGGCACAGGAGGAATGGATGGTCTTATAAAAGGGTCTCAGGGAGCCCTCTCCTTCTCTTTTTGCCATGTGAGCACAGGTATCTGCGTGCTTGGAAGAGGGCCTTGACCAGACCCTGGATCTGCTGGCACCTTGACTTTGGGCTGCCAGCCCCCAGAACTCTGAGAGATGTCTGTTGTTAAAGCTACCCGTCTATGGTATACTTGTTATCGCAGCCTGAGCCAACTAAGACATGCTGTAAGGCCATGGATTATGGGAAAGGTGGTCAGTCAGTTTTCTTAGTATGTTTTTAGAATACCTGAGACAGGTGCTGTATAAAGAAAAGAGATTTATTTTGGCTCATGGTTCTGGAGACTAGAAAGTCCAAGCTTGAGAAACCACACCCAGTGAGGGCCTTGCGCTCCTTGACTCATGGCGGAAAGCAGAAAGGCAAGAAGGTATGTGTGCAGGAGAGGCCAAACCCGAGGGCAGTCTTCTTTCCAGCCACTCACTCTCATGGTACCTGTGAAGGTGAGAACTAGCCCACTCTTCACAGATGGCATTCCTGAAGGTTCCATGTCCATGACCCCCACACCTCCCCATTGGGTGATGTGAGTGTCCAAGGGGACAACCATATTCTAACCATAACAGGAAGCTCTCCCTGACAAACAGGTCATAGGTGAGGACAGAGGAATAGAGAGGTGGCTGCAGGGCACTGGGGAATGTGACAGATCAAAAGTGACTGGTGGAGAAATTCCCCCGAGGACTTACTTGGACTGTGGAAGGCAACTCCAGAGAGCACATTTTGAACTCTGTTCTCTTTGCGGATTCCTTGACCTTCTTCCTCACCGGGCATGCCTGCCTGCCTGCCCAGCCCACCCCAAGACTTTGCAGGCTGTTCCATCGGATGGGATGAATTCTGCACCCTGCCATCCTTCTTCTTTTTAGTTAACCCCAGGAGAGTTTGAGTAAGAGGGTCAACTTTAATGAGAGCCACGAGAGA